AGAGGTATCGCCACATTTGGCAACACATTTTTGCAGTTGTATTAAGTGCAGTGTTTATCTCGCCAGATGGAGTCAGGAGTTTCAAAACTGCCATCAAATTGTTCGCTGAAGTCTTCTTGACAAAACCATTACTGATAAGTCAGTTTTTTTTTACAATGAAAACTTTAGTTATTATGAAAACCAGTGATTTTTACGTGTGTAGCACTAATTCCTCACTACGCAAAAACCTCAATTTAATAGTATTAAACTAAAAGGAAGTTTCCAAAGTTTAGAAAACTTTTAAGGCAGCATTAATTCCACCCCGTAACTCAAGAATTGCCAAGTTTCATCTTTTGTATCATCTTTAATCTCACATTTTTGAGTGTCGGTTACGCTGTGTCTGTTACGTAACCGACACAATTTGGCAGGGCCGCCATGTTTGCGTGGTCCTCCAGCAGTCCCGCGGGAAGCGCTGATACCTGATTCAATGGTTTGTTTATCAATCACTTTAACTTTGCACTGAATTAAAATACAGCGTGCCAAAGCTGGAAAAAGGAAGTTTAATACCTTTAAAATAAGGTAATGAAATCCTGTTAAAATTGGTGCACTTTTATTTCTAAGGTATTTCACATTTTAACTATTCCTGTTATCGTGAAATCACCCATATAACATATAAATAACATATAATATATAACATATACTGCGGTTAACTTATGGATCCCATGGTGAGAACCTAATGGATTGCCTACTTCATAGGAATCGCTATACAAAGCAAGAGATATCACTGATTTGTCATAGTTTATCTGCCACCAATGCTCTGCCTGGATAAAATTAAAGATTATCTCTTTCTCGTCTTTTAATTGATTCATATAATTAAGGATTTTTGGAAGTGAAGAATTGGTACCCAAAAACTGTTAGAGAACTTTCTTTAGTGGAATGCACTGGCGTTCGTGCTTAACACTAGTTGTTTTTTGGACACCATCCACCATGACTGTCTCTGAAGTCTCCGCGATTAAAAACGGTTCAGCAGGCTGATTATTCACTTTCATAGATCTCGGCTATAGATCTGCAAATCTCATCTATCGCGCATCTATGATCAAACTATTTGTGATTCTACACTGTGATTCTATCCGATGGATGAGCGACAGATCAGCAGAATTGGAATACAGTGTTGAACGATTGCTTTGAAATGAAAATAATCGTTCTGACCAATCAGACACCTTGATTCACCGAGTGAAGAAGAAGAAGCGCGTAGGAAACCTAACCTCCAAATAGATCATTTATCGTGTTTTACTCAGCTCCGTCTTATCAGCTACCGTGGCGCAGTGGATAGCGGCGTCGATATTCAGTCGCTACCAATCCGAGCGATGGTGGGTTCGAATCCCGCCGCGGCAGTACCAGTCGGCCAATCAGAAGCACAGTTTTAATAGATGTCACCGCATCTACTGCCCTAGGGCCGGGGGATCCGCATCTATCAGTGGATCTATAGCTGGATCTATTGAAATTAGTTCTGAATCGCTCGCAGCCCGCATCCATCAAGGTCAATAGATGAGGGAAGTAAATAATCAGCCTGCAGGAGGAATGAACGTTCCCAAACTGCCAAAATATTTGAACCGCTTATACTCAGTTTCTAAACCAAGGGAGGGTGTTTTTAACGGGCTTAATAATTCAGAGACAGTTATTTGAGATTCAGCAAGTACCACATTTTTCTGTAAATCAACTTTTAAAAAATCGACAGAAGAACTGAAAAAAATTGTCACTAGATCATAACTAGTTGAACTTTATTATTACATTCTCAACATATTAAGTTTGGAGCATATTTGCTGCCTCCCATTCAATGTAATTTTGAAATTTCTCCACAGAGCGAAGCTCAGCGAGTTCCTCATCATGGGTCGTAACTCTGACATGTTCCTCTACTTCGCTCACCAAATGTGATATATTACTTATTAATTCATCATCGCCTTGGATGTGAGGTTGAGTCATATTGGGCATGAATGTGTCATCTGATGAGTCTATAAATGATAGATCTAAAAGATGGAAAACTGCGAGAACAATAATTACCGTCACTGCAAATGATTTGGCAGCCTGAAGGCTTTGGACGATGATTGTATTTATAAGGACTCATTAGTATTGTAAAAGATCTTAGCCTCCACTACAACAACAAACAAACAAACAAACAACAAAGATCACAGATTTTTTTTTTTTTTCCAAAACAAACTAGCATTTTAAATACGTTAAGAGCGTAAGAATCCTCTCCTCCTCCTCCTTCCTTCTTCCTATAATTTGTAATTTAGACGTTCTCGGCGAGTAGCAACTCTAGTACCTCTTTTGAAAATGACTATCTTTTCCTTTTGAGCATTTCTGTGGATTATGAAATGAAAGGATCCGAAAACAAAAGAAGTCCATTCAAAATATCCCGATTGCAATGTTTTCGAAAGTCCTTTCCCGAAAAATTAGCCCCAAAATCTCGGTAAATTTTGTGTTCTGCTTCGGCTGCCTCTTCGGATAACTGGCCAATTGGTAATATAGCACGGGAAATAACTGAAGTTCCATGAACTAGAATCTTATGCAAGGTTGGTGACACAGGGTACCAAGGATACAAACTTACATAGAATTCGGCTGTTTCTCGGCAATACTTAGCAAAGCTGTCTGTATTTACTTTAAAACCACTTGAAATGACCTCTAATATTACAGCAAGTTTAAAGATGAGATTCAAGATGATTCCAGCAATTTCTGAGAACTTTTTTGGAGCGGAAAACCACCTACGTGAGACATTACCGGTGTTCGTGGTTCCAAGTCTCTCCCTATCAACATTTACTGACAAGTACATTGCGCTTTTGAAAGTTTCTTGAATCTCTTTCTTCTTATTTGTCAAAATGTTCTTCTTTTCCGTGTCTTGCTTACCAATTTGATATTCTTTTATTGGTAGCTTGTACGCAACCTTTAACAAATGCTCGGAAAACCTTAGAATAACCTAAAATAGAGAAGCCAAAGTTGAAGGTTTCGAGATCCTCCTCTCCCCTTTTCGTCAGGTTATTGAAGTTTGCAGACGTTAGAGCACATTTATAAACAGCGTGTTGTGCATTTGCTCTCTGTTAAGGCGTTCCATACTTTCCCGTCCACCATTGTGGGCGTTAAAGTATGCTTCACAATTAAGTTATTTCCTTCAACTTCGGGAACTACAGTTGCCTTCAGATTTTGGATTTGATTCTCTATGTATGCATATGCATCTCTTATTATATCCTCGGTTTCGTGGATGAAACGAGTTCTTATCGGTCGGAAAAACCTTGAGGAGGAGGGTGTTGGATTTAGCCACAAGACCTGCTTTTCCCCATTAACATTACTAATCAGTTTTAAAGGTAGGAACTCTGAAAGATGTGTTTGTCACTCTGTGTATTATCCTTAAATTTTTGTTGGTATTCATCGTGTGCCGAACCATCAACACCCCATTACCCAATCAGTTGCAAACTTCTCTCATCTTCCGAGCAATTATTCACGACATCCCCTAGACACTGGAATAAACGAATCGTAGTTAGGTCAAGAATGTCTTGCAATTGTACCTTGATTAGATCCTCTTTCACCGTAATGGCTTGCTCATTCGGATAGCACTCTTTAGCCTTCTGCAAATAAACAAACATGGTTGGACAAGTAGCATCTATTATATTTATGGTAAAACTTAAAATTAAAATAATTTGTTTAAATCAAACCACAATGCTATTCATAATATATAATCTCCAATGATTACTTACATGGAGCAGCAGCAAGACACCAGGTCCCATCATCAGGGCTTACACAAACAACACACGTAAACTACTAGGCAACTAAAATAAGCAAATAAAATAGGAAACTACATGATAGAAGTATTTACATAACGAGATAAGCAAATATTAAAATATCAAAATATATAAAATAAAATAATATATATTAGAAAGTTAAAAGCATTGATTCTCTTATCCGGAGTATGAGTGTGGTATACCATCGGCGTCCTATCGTGTTTCGTAACTAACATTATTTTGCGAAAAATGTCGAAGGACTGAATGAGTACTCTTGATATTTTCACCAAGTTTTACGTCTGGATCGTCGACTGGAAAGAAGTTGGGAAGTTTTTTCAATCTCCTAAAAAAAAATTTTTTCCCGGAGATACGTGTTTTTTTTAGTCAGTCGTCCGCGATCTGGACCATAAAATCTATCATACAATTTTAAAATACCCCAACTCCAAGTAACAGGAATCGCGATAAGTTGCGATTTGATCGGAGAATGTATTGCGATTCTATCGACTTCGATTCATAGTCATATAGTTGCATAAAAATGAGATAAAATTTCGATTTTAATCGAACGCAATTTTACAGAGATAAAACAATATGATCGAGGATAATCACTCAGATGTTGACGATCCAAACGATTCTATTGCCAAAAAATCGTGAAAAATCGCAACTCGATTTAAACACATCGCGATTTTTCCGTTGGAAAAAAAAAATGCCGCTTGGGAAAACACCGTCAACATTTTTCCTGTGACAGGAGGTTATCATCCATAGGTGATAGAACTGGACCTCACTGTTCTTGTACAGATCCGTGTTATAAAACCAACGTAGTCCATTCGTCTATTGTTGGAGAGAGCCAAAGGTAAACAACAGTGACTTGGCGCGCTTTGTGACATATCGATTGATCTGCCATTGAAACCAATGACAAGAATCGAATGACAGGGTGTTCCCAACAAACGACTCTTTACCATACCTTCATATGGGGAAACACCGATAAGCGATCATTTCACGTCTCGCCGCCGGTGAATAAAGAACGTCGAGGCGCGTGCCTTTTCTACAATCCCTGAGATTCCCGACGAATTGGTCCACAATGCGGATAATAGTTTTGTTAGAATAATGTCCTGTCTTCTGTAACAGCATGGGGCTATGTGCANGGGGGGGGGGGGGGGGGGGGGGGGGCTGTTTCCCGCGTCTGGTCCCCGGGCTGCGGCCCGCGTGCTGCCGAGAGCGGTGCGACTTGAGTCTTCAGTACACCTTGCTTCGCGCGAGAGTCAGGACTGTGCCGCTCTGTGCCCCGTGCCGGCTCGAAGTTAGCGTCGGAAAAACGAGTGTCAACCGGTGTGAAATCGGATTGGGTTTGTCGCTAATAGTTTCTGTGAATCGTGCCGATCGAAACAGCTCGATTTCGTCTCTCTCGGCAGTTCTCCCTTCGTGTTTACATTCGGCGAGTGATTTGTTTACGTTCGGCGGTTTTAAGTGTGCCGGTGGGTTTTTGTGGTGTATTCGGCGGATCTGATGGATAACTCAGTGTGATCGGTTGATTTTTCCACCGGAGCGGCGTTTTCCCCTTGGATTGTTCGTCTGATAAGGTCAGTTGTTGTCAATTTCGGTTTTCCAATCGACGTTATCAGTGGATCTGTCTCAATGATAGGCCGCTCGCAAAAGTGCAGGTGTCCGATGCAGCGAGCTTTATCGTATTCCAATATCGCAAATTGTAGCCCGAAAACTTTCTTGTATCTTCATTCGTGAACGGGTGCAAGTTTCATGAAGATATTTCAGGGCATTTTTGGAATCGAAAAATACACCAACATTTTTAACGAATTGTCATAATTTTCGAGTAAATAAACAAAGTTGACCTTGATATGATAGGATGACTATCATCGCACAACAAATTCAGTAGACGAGACGAGTATTTTATTCATCATCATCAGGGTACTGGATGCGTTGGAAGTCGATAATTTTCATACTTTAGCAACCCTTGATCCCAATATTTCAAGTAGGTAGTCTCAAAATCGAAAATCCCTCCGAAGTAACCCCCCTTTTTCATCGCGAAACAGTCTCGATCATTCATTTAATTTCTTCGATTCGATCAATGCTAAGTACACTCATCGTCAAAGAAACTTGACTGACTCTGTGAAAGCTCCCCTGAAATGCTTCGTGATTCTGTGAAATATTTTCGGAGAGCCGGAAATAAACGGTTGGAAAGAACTGGGGATGGGAGGTCAGACGAACTTTCTGAAAACTTCCAAGGCTTTTTGCGATCTGAATGTAAACCTTCAGGCCCTTCAAATCATCTTGTCCTGTCAGACTTCGCGCAGTATTTTATGGAAGCTCACTAGGCAGTTTTCATTTCGGCGTCGGAACTTTTTGGCTTTTGAACTAACTTGGTCGCGGGAAACTTCTCCAAAGAATAATTTGTTACGAAGTTGTTTCAATGTTCAAGTACGAGAGGGCACGTATCTTGATTTGGCACTTTGCGAATTTCTCTTCATCTCTACCCGTTGAAGAGACGTGCGACCATACTTTTTTTCGCTCACTCTGTCAATAGGTAAAGGAAGCAATGTCATCCAATACAAAAAAATCTTCATTTTTGGGCGATTATGGTGCACGGAGTGAAGAGAGAACCACACATGATAAACCTTGCAGTATCCCTGAAAATGTATGTGCACGTCAGTATTTCAAAATCTACACTGAAAAAGAACTCCAGCCGTGGAAGCCGTACTTACGGGCTGTATATAGACATACCCCGTCTGCGTTCCGGGCTCAGAGGCTGAAAGTTCCGGGTGTAGTACTAAGGAAGAACGCCGTATGAACATTCGAGAGTTACCAAAGTTCCTTCGATGAAATGTTTATTTTTGAGGAAATTTATGAATATTTTTCCTTGAAATTTTCAGGAACTTTAGATAAAATTGCGATCAAAATTATCTGAACAATTGGGAGAAAAATATCCATACGTTTACCAGGAAAATCGTGTTTTATCAATGGAAATTTGGCAACGCCTGAAGGTTCATACGGCGTTTTTACTTAGCGCGGCAGAATGAAACAAAGGCATCACTACCTTAGTTCCTCAAGAGAATAACATGCAGACAATCTTCTAAAAAGTTCCAGCTCCAGGTGTGATTTTTCCCCATCCCACGGTTCCTGATGAACTTTTGAAGCCAAAGTTTTTCCTCTCACCGCGATGGTGCTCCGCTATTATTACCGGATAAATTGCGAGCAGTCTCGTCGCCCGGCGTCAATCTTCGCCAGCTGCACGGCTCTAGTGCTCTGCTAATGAATTGCAAGCACGGAGTCCGTCTAAAAAATCAATATCCGAGACTTGATTCCCGTCGATGTGGTCTTGCTCCTCGTCAAATCAAGGTGAATGATTGAGAAGTGATCACAACCACCGACCGANGCAGTTTTCATTTTGGCGTCGGAACTTTTTGGCTTTTGAACTAACTTGGTCGCGGGAAACTTCTCCAAAGAATAATTTGTTACGAAGTTGTTTCAATGTTCAAGTACGAGAGGGCACGTATCTTGATTTGGCACTTTGCGAATTTCTCTTCATCTTTACCCGTTTAAGAGACGTGCGACCATACTTTTTTTCGCTCACTCTGTCAATAGGTAAAGGATTGTCATCCAACAAAAAAAATCTTCATTTTTGGGCGATTATGGTGCACGGCACCACTATGGTGCTCGAGCAAACTTATCTGACAAATTGGAAGAAAACTATTCATACGCTTACCAGGAAAATCGTGTTTTATCAATGGAAATTTGGCAACGCCTGAAGGTTCATACGGCGTTTTTCCTTAGCACGGCAGAATGAAACAAAGGCATCGCTACCTTAGTTCCACGAGAGAATAACAGACAATCTTCTAAAAAGTTCCAGCTCCAGGTGTGATTTTTCCCCATCCCACGGTTCCTGATGAACTTTTGAAGCCAAAGTTTTTCCTCTCACCGCGATGGTGCTCCGCTATTATTACCGGATAAATTGCGAGCGGTCTCGTCGCCCGGCGTCAATCTTCGCCAGCTGCACGGCTCTAGTGCTCTGCTAATGAATTGCAAGCACGGAGTCCGTCTAAAAAATCAATATCCGAGACTTGATTCCCGTCGATGTGGTCTTGCTCCTCGTCAAATCAAGGTGAATGATTGAGAAGTGATCACAACCACCGACCGAATAGACTCTATTAGTGCCACGTCACAGTCGGTATCGATTGTATCGAACTGGATCCAAACAATCAAACATAACCTTACTATTCAGTATGAAACTAAAGAATTTCAGAGATAATTCGCCCAGTTTGAGAAAAAAGTTGTGTTAGAGACAGCTCTTTTAATCGCGGAACGTTCCCGCATTGTTAAGTTGACGGGATAAAGCAGTTTCAGAAAGGTGAAAATACCCACGAGGGCCACCATGATTTAGGCCACTCCTATGCCACTCCAGTTTCTTGGCTTTTGACAGTGAAATTCTGGGAGGGAGGTGTCAAGATGAGGTTATGTTTGATTGTTTGGATCCAGTTCGATACAATCGATACCGACTGTGACGTGGCACTAATAGCGTCTATAGAACCCAAGGAGCGCGCTGCACTCCGGAAAGGAGGGGAAAAAAACAACAACAACAACAACATTTGATCTAGAGCCCAGACTCTTGAAAACATTGACAAGAAAAAGGACTCTTTTGATTCAACCAGATTTAAGCTTAAATCAAAAGGAAATCCGCTCAAATTAAGAGGCTTGGTTCTTGATTTAAGCTTAAATCTGATTGAATCAAGAGTATTTTTTCTCGTCGATATTTTTAGGAGTACGGACTCCAGATCCGATGTGTTTTTTTCCAGTGAGCAAAAATCCGATTGAATCAGGAGTATTTTTTCTTGTCGATGTTTTTAAGAGTCAGGACTCTAGAGCCAATGTGTTTTTTTTCCAGTATATGCGAAAATGTGCGTCACGTAATTTAGTGGCAGCCTTTCTCGAAAGAATTGGTACGAAAAAAAACCCGTTGTTGGTTTTCGCCGTTCTGCATATTTCTATTAAAGAATTTCCCAATCGATCCATTTCTGTCTAACTGCTAACGATCATAGTGTTTGATGTCAGCCGCCCGTCATTATAGTGGTCATTCTTGCTAATGGATACAAATTTTTAGGAGCAGCCCGAGACGATGATAACAGTGGAACAACAAAGATGAAAAAAACGGGAAACAAGGCTAAAAATACACAATTATGAAACCCGAGACGTTTCGANTTTAAAAATTTTTATTGTTTCCGACTGAAAATGACTCAGTGTTGAGTCGAAACGTCTCGGGTTTCATAATTGTGTATTTTTAGCCTTGTTTCCCGTTTTTTTCATCTTGCTAATGTGTTGCTATTAAGCGCCAGCTAATGCGCCTAATTTGGTTCAAATTGATGTCGTATCATATTTCAATATTTAACTTTTATCATCAGCTTTAAACTTAATCATTTCTTGTAAGAGATACGAGAAACTACACCAATAATTTTTTATTTTTATTGATTTATTTCTAATTTTTTTTTTCTTTGACGTCCTTTGTCAGGGCGGCAGTCTGCGAAGTATCATGATTCAATAAAAATAATCATCGGCTTAATGGATTATTCAGTAAGAAAAAACAATTTAATCGGCCCGAAACGATAATACAAAATAAACAACTTAAAAGGGGACTGAGGCCGACGTCCTGAGTCATATTTTAAGTTGTTTTTTTTTGTATTTTTTGATGTTGATGCAGGGGTGCAGAAAGTTCTTGGCCTTCCCATTCTTTAAAATTGCCTTCCCATTTTAAAAAACCCGTTTTTCTAAAAATAATTCGAAAATATAACTTTTTTATAGCTCGAACGCATAACTTGGCGCTACTTTTAGAAAAGCACACGATTTCTACCGCGATTTTACGAAAGACACATGATTTACCCGCTGTTTTGCCAAAATAATTACGATTTTTCCAGCTATCCTATTTCAAAATTCCGTTTTTGGAGCCTTCCCATTTTCACACGCGAACGATCGCGACCCGCGTGGTCGAGAAGTTTTTTCATTCCTGATTTGATGCTCGGAAAATCCAAAAAATGTTCTTATTGATCCAGGAATGATCAATAATTTTACTGCATTTTCCAATAGGAACTACACTTTCTGGCTTATTTGTTAAAATACTCACCTGCGTAAGGAAACGAATGGTACATACGTTGTTCCTAAACTGAGCCAAAGTTAGTAGCTCTTAATTGCAAAACGTAGGTAGTCCAATTGACAGATCACTGGAAAAAAAACACATTTCTAGAGTCCAAACTCTTGAAATATGGACAAGAAAAAATACTCTTGATTCAGTCAATTTTAAGCTGAAATCAAGAACCCGGCCTCTTAATTTGAGCGGATTTCCTCTTGATTTAAGCTTAAATCTGATTGAATCAAGAATCCTTTTTCTTGTCAATGTTTTCAAGAGTCTGGACTCTAGATCTAATGTATTTTTTTTCCAGTGTACGTTGTTCTTAAACTGAACCAAAGATTGTAGCTCTTAATCGCAAAACGTAGGTAGTCCAATTGACAGATGGACAATCGAATCTATCTCCCAAGTGCTGAAGATCCACTTTAATAAAGCGTGAAAGAGAGAATCGGT